ACTGACGATTCAAAGCAAGTTTTGAGCAGTGTAGAGTAGCGCTTGTTTGTCATTTCTCCGATCACAAATGCAGACATGGTTTTATGTTTACACGGCGTGATGCAACGCAACGCGTAAAAAGACCGTACAAGTCATTATAATCCGTAATTATGTCCCCACTGGATGCAACAAATGCCTCGTTTATAATGGGTTTTCGTGTTTTTGTCTCGTCGCTCCGGCTGGACAGGGTATCATCACAGTATGGTGAGGGGCGTAACATTTCCGTCACCCGCTTGAGGTATTCGGCCAATCACAACACACTGGATAGCTGGCCAATCACAGCACACCTCGCTTTTCAGACCGATGAGCTTTGTAAAAATCGACGCGTTTCAGAAAGGCGGGGCATAGAGGAGCAACTATAATGTACAGTATGTGGGAAATAATGTGTTTTTAACCTTAAACCACGTAAACATTTCATTACACCAAATACACCAAATAATGTTTTTTTTAGCAGCAACATATGACCCCTTTAAATATGATAAAAATTCGAATTATATTCTAATTTAAAATGCATAATTTCAGTTAGGGTGAAGAAAAGCTTTTGGATTCTCTCCTGAGGCCACAGGGTGCATCGAGCAAAATATTACTAATGCACGTTTATTCAAAGCATCAGATAACACGACTATCTGTGAAAAAAGTGCATAATGTTTAAAATAATGTTTATAAACCAATTATAATTAATAAACAACTATAAACAAAACAGCATCATGTATGTATGCATAGTTTAATACAAAGGGTCGAACACCAATCATACAAGAGTACATTTTTCATTTAAAAACACGAGTTGCAGTGGAATGGGGAAAAACCCTGCCATAAAGTCTCGAGATATGTTTTTTTTCAAAGTTAAACTTTGAAGAAGCGGCTCTTTTGTGCGAGACGCGAGTGCGACGGTGATAGATGTCCCTCTAGAAAATGCGTGAAATATGCATTCTGTGTAAATGGCTTAGTTTCAGTTTTAATGTAAACAAGATCTTCTCCGCATTGATGTTCTCTTTTCCCACAATATTTGTAATTAACAACGCATGAGCGCGCATCTAGTGGCTTCAGCTGGATAGACTAACAAAAACATTATAATACAACGACACTTACATCATCATCGCATCTCGTGCGCCACTGATAATGCTGCCTCCTTAACGCACACCTAAAATTTGAATGCAACATTTTTGCATTCGAATGTGGAATTATATTTTAAATTCGACGAATATTCGAAATTTGAAAAAAAATTTTGACAGCCCTGCTGTTGAGCCTTCGCCAAGTTTGCATGTAACAGTGGGCCTTTATTATTGTAATTTGATTAATGGCAAAGTCTTTGTCAGAGCCTCCTTCAATAGCGCCATTGTGTCAGTGGACCAGAAGTGACTTCCCCCTCCCGCTGGGAGTTGAAGACTGCTGAAACCGTCGCTCGTTGGAGGGGAAAATAATTTGACAGGCTCACAGCCCCTCTGAGGACTCCCATAACTCCCCCCGTGGGGCCGGCTGCTTGTTCTCACTCGTGTGAGTGATGAAAGAGTGGGGCGCACAGAATCAACCCTCATTGTCTTGCCGTAATCAGTTACCGTACTGCAAACGCTTCCCCTAGAGCAGCGTCATCGCCTCCATCAAGATGAGCTGCAGTAAATACAGTTACAGTACAGATTTGTGTTTTTTTTCATGTAATTTGATGGTTTTACATTCACATGAGATACTTTTAGGTACTGACATGAACCCTTTATTGGTAGATACCACCTTTAATAGGGTACTGTTACACTGACAAGTTAAATTTCGCAAGATTGTTTTCTCAGTGCACAGCAAGAAATCCAGTAGTATAATCCAGGTTGTGAACTGCAGTTTGGTTACTACAATCAGTGTGATAAATATGGAAGCTAGTTCACAATTTGTCGAGTTTGTGCTTCAGTATATAATATAATATATATAAAGTAATAGTATTTATTGTATCTAAATTAACTTAGACAAATTGTAGAATTTTAATATATTATACTTATTTTTAAAAACAAATATATGTATAATTGTATATAAATGTTTTCTATTATGCTAACTTCAGTTAAGTGTATAATTTTAAGTGTATAAATTATATATACATTTCTTTTAAATGTTTATACATTTATATTTCTAACATTTTAATGTTTATATTTTAATGTTTTTAATTTATTTTTAAATGTATATATACTTTTGTAATTTATTTAATTAGATTTTTTTCTATAAAAATAAATAATTTATTTTCTAAAACCTCAGTGTTTTCTGTAACTAGGTTTAAGATAAGCGCTGTTCATATCAGAAAATGCTGAAATAATAAAAGTGGCCTCAATGCCTGAGGTGATTTTTTAAATTTTTTTAATAGGGCTTTCATATACACCTATTGTTGTGGTGCTTTCTGAAAATTAAATTATCACTGGACCCCAAGAATTACCCATCAGGTAACTGAATT